AATATATTATAATATATATTATATATAACATATATAATTATATAATCATATAGTCATATAATATATATATGACTTTTCATTTTTTTAATTTTGCATATTATGGGGGTACAGATTTTAAGATTTCAATAAATGCCCATTCCCCCCTTCCCCCCCAAGTCTGAGTCTCCAGCATGACCATCCCCCAGATGGTGCACATCTCACTCATTATGTATGTATATACCCGCCCCCTCCCCCCTCTCACGTGCCCAATACCCTATTACTGTAGTGCCTATGTCCAGCAAACTGGTATTAACTGAGCAGCACCTAAGTGGACACATAGGTACTGCATCATTCTTTATGGCCACTGTGCCCACACAGCATGACATGGCACAGGGACTGGCACACTATGCTAAGTCACAGTCTTGCTCCCAGACATTCCTGAATCCCAGTCTCCATCCTTCGTCAATGCCCTTGAGGGAGGCTGACTGTTCCCTCCTGTTTGACCTTGGCTTTCCTTCCCACATGCTGCAGAGTCCCTCTGTCTCAGTTATATCCAATCATCCTGTTGAAACATCTCCTCCGGATCACCTTTGTCTTGGGAACACCTCTGCTAGCTCCATCTATAAGCTTTCCTTGAATCCATAGTAAGACTTTTTATTAATGGATAGTAAAACCAGGTACATTTTATTTTTCCCATTGTGTATCAAGCATGGTGGTAGGGGCTTCACCATCATGCTCTCGAACCCTTTCAGCAACTCCAGGCCAAAGGTATGATTAACTCCATTACAGTAAAATTTATGCTCAGTGGTTGAAGGGCTTGCCCTGGCACTCATAGCTCTAAAGTGAACAAGCAGGATTTTAATGTGACTATCTGAGTCCAGGTCCTCTCTGCAATAGGACCTGTCGCCCTGAAAATCTGATTCTTTAATCTAACAAATTCCACTGAATCCTCCCAATTTTTACTGAAGTTAAAGGAGAACAATAGGAAGATATTGCAATTAGTTTTCTTTTATGTTTTAAAACAGCCAAGGGATGCCTTGGGCTCAGTGAGTCATTAAACACTGTAATTTATACTTTCCTATTTCTGTTGTGATAGAGACCCTGTGGCCTTTATATTCATCCTGAACACTAGGGCCGAACTTCCCAATGTCCTGCATCCACACAGAAGGACCCCCTTTGTGCCCTGCACCCAAGTCCAATGAGCACATCTGATACTATTACAGTTGCCATCACTGCTCACATACCTGTTCCTTCTCTAAAGCTAAGATCTTTCCAGAATGCCCAAGGGGAGGATTTTTCCTAACCAGCATGAGTTCAAAGTCTGTCACAGTCTACTCAACTAGATATATTAATATATACAGCTAACTCAGACAAGAATACGCCATCAGTTTTGCAGAGAAATCTTCCCCAAATCATCTTTTTTAAAAACGTATTGAAAAAGAAAGCACAATAGTGTGCAGGCTTTTCCCATAATGAGTAACTATACATCATCCACAGCCTGTAATCATAAACATCTAGCTTGTAAAATCCAATGAGACATTGTTTCACATCTAGAGAAACTGCATCTAAATCATCCACATAATTGAAACATATTTCCATATAATGTGACTGTTAGAGAACTGACATACTTACAAAGAACAAAAATGTAGAATTCTGTCCTTTTTAATCTATGAGGCAACACCATATGTTTGAACAGCACTGGGTTTATGTTGTCAAAGTGCTTTCATTTCATCTGGCTGTGTCTGTGAAATGAAACAGTCTCCTTGGTATGACACAAAACGGCCACCCCCTTCCTGGCCACAGCTTATTTCTCTTCTCAGGGCAGCCCTGTTCTCACCAGCAGTCACATCAGATCTCTTGTCGCTGTGGAACATTGTTGCTCTGTCCAGGTCTCAGTGACACTGGCCATTCTGTTACTTCCACTCTGATCATCCTTCCCTCTCCTTATCTGTGGGACCATATTCTGCTCATCGTTCACGGTCTCATCTATGAGGTCCTTCCTTAGCCAAGCCACCCAGCTTGGGCAGTCCTGGATGGAGTCACTGCTCCATCCGAGTGACGGCCACCCCACTCTCCACTGGGCAGAATGCTGCTGAGGGAACAGCTACTTTATGCATCGTAGCAACACTTACTCTAGCAAATGGTTACTCTGAGCGTCAACTATATACCCCAGGCCGCATTCTAAGCATTTTACTTGCATAATTCATTCAATACTTACCACAAACCTATGAGATAAATACCACCTAGCATCCCCCTTTTATAGACGAAGAAACAGGAAAACAAACTGGTTGAATAACTTCTCTAAATTTAAGCATTTTAGAAATGGCAGACCTAGAATTTGAACCTGGAAAGCCCAGAGCTTGTCATTCTCCCTGATACTGAATTGCGCCTCTCTAAACTCAGCAACATTTTCTATTTCCACTTTAAGGATAAGTAGAACAAAAAAGCCAAATTAAATAATTTGTTCCAACAAGGCCATTCAACTAATGAGCATCAAAGACATCATTAGATTCCAAGTGTTTCCATTCTTCCTGGTTCTTTTTAATATAACATACTTTGTTGTCAAAACATTTTTTCTTTTTTTATTCATCAGAGATATATGCAGGTAATGGAAAATATGCATGGATGATTGCCTGCAAATATGACTGCCAAAGCTTCCTGCCACCACTGTGCATGCAGAAGGAGCTGCCCAGGAATAGGAGAAGTCTATTTCCCTTCTGCTTGGGCCAACCTTGTCACTTGCCTTGACCAATGGACTATGGAGATGTGACCCTGTGGAGGTCCCCACCTAGCCCTTAAGCACTCTAGAATCTTCTGCATTTTCTCTCTTGGTGCACTGAGCTGCTATGTAAGAAGTCTGACCTCCCAGCTGAAGACAGAAGCTCATCTTTCCCTCATGCAGGCCTGGAGGCAGACAGATGAGTGAAAACATCCTGAGGTCTCGGATGAATGTAGTACATAAAAGAACCTGGCCAAGCACAGACAACTCAAAACATTAAAAGAGAGAAAACCATCATTTTAAGCAACTATGCTTTGGAGTACTTTGTAATCCAGTGGTATCTAACAGAAGTAATATAATTGGAAATTCACCTTGAAGAAGAAATCACAAATGTGATACCCCTCACCCATGCAACAATCCTGTTGTAAATTACCACTGGCCTCTATGTTAGCATTCACTTCTAAACAGTGTGCTACTGTAAAGCTCAAGGCAATCCAACTTCACCACAATTATTCCTCTTTCAAACTAGACCAAAAGGAAAATATAGCTTTTTCCCCAAAATATTATATTTCATTTTTCTTTTGTCTCTGTGCAGCACTATCTCAGGTCTTTCTGTCCCATAGCTACTTGCTGAGTTCTGCCAGCCACTGGGCGGCCAGCAGCCTGAGAGAAGGCTCAGCCCAAGACAAGAGCCGAGCACACGTTGTGCACAGTCAGCAGGAAGAAGTGGGGTCCTTGTCAGGAACCTGGGGCTGGCTGTCATCAAGTCAGCAGGGCTGCTGTTCCCATCCCATCTCCAGGTCCTGCCCCACAGGCTTTTATCATGGGACCCTGACTTACACCCCTGGTCATATGACCACTCACAGGTAGGACTGATTAGACATTTACTTTGTGCCAGGTCCTCTTTTGACACACTTGCACTTGTATTCTCTATAAAATGTCTTTTTCATTTATAATCTCTAAGATAAAAAAAAAAAAACACTATGAAGGATGGATTTGTTTCCTTCTATTTCAGGTGAGGAAATAAACCTCAAGCTGCTAATAACATAACTGGGGGCACACACCTAGTTTATGCAATGTCAGGACCCAAAGCCCTACTATCTCTGTGGACACCAGGAACCTTCTTCTCCAAAAAGCTGGGGTAGGGAGAAGGCATAACACACGGTGGTAGCAAAAGAGGGACTGTCTGGATTCCGGAATCACTCTGAGTCCACACTGGACATAGAAGAGTGGGTGGCTACCCAGGACCAGATGCTGATATCTTCCAGGAGAGAGAAGGAGAGAAAGAGAAGGAGCACCATGGCAATACAATGACCTGACTATTACCCAACACTCTACCCAGAGACAGGGAGAAGCAGGTGGTCAGCAGTATTTCCCCTCATGGAGCACAGGCTTGAGTTAGCCTATTGCTCATAAACCACAGGTCTCCTCTAACGTCCCCTTGTGTAGCCTAAGGAGCCCACTCCCCACTCCAGACCTCCTCCAAAGTGGAGCCAGGCAGACCATGGCATCTATACTCCTAACTCTAAGTATCCAGTTGCGTGTGATTTCACTCCCCATAATATCATTGCCAATTCCAAATGAATTTTATGAAGTGTACCTGTGACCAGAACTCTTAACTCTACTGGATCTGATTTCTATAACATTCTTGGCTACTCTAAAATAGATTCTCCATAGCTCTTTTTATCCCACTACATTTTCCTTGGTTTTATGGTCTAGCTAGTCTAACACAGTTCTCCCCAATTTACTAATGTAATCTCCATATATTTCTGCTAGTTTTATTTCTGGTGCAATATGTTCTATATCTGACTTAACACTATATCACAGAGCACCTGCTTGAAACCCTAGACACCCACTTAATCTCAAAACCAGGGCCTGGGTTGTCCCTGGCCATCCTTCTCAAGCTGGGAGCCTGGCATTTGGAGCCCTCCTTTTGTATGGTGAGCCCCACTACAACTACCTACTCACTCAGTCCTCTATGCCTAGCTGATTTCTACATTTTCTTTCATGACCAGCTATTCCTTACCCACTTGCCAGGTGCCACTTCCCACCTGCTTCCTTCCTGACTTGACTTAACCACCCCCCTCAAGCCAGTTTATCCCCAAGTATCAGCTGCTCCTGGAAGAGTGTCACTTTTTAAAGCCAAGTTCTCTTTACAACAATGTACACCCATGGGCACTTCCAAAAGCTGGTCTCCATTTCCAAAATTCACACATCCAACATTCATCAATGATTTACTGAGTACCTCCATGTGCCTCGCACGCTGCTGTGCCCTGGCATGCAGAGACAAAGGAAGGTTTACCATCGGGAGCAGGCGCCCAGCTGCTGTTCTTCTGCTCACCTGTCTGCCCGGCGATGGAGGCACTCAGTCTGTGAGGGATCCTTGAGGACACCTTCAAGGTCACTCGGATCTGGTAATACCTAAGAAAAGAGCAAAGGACAGGCTGCTGAAGATCAGACTCCTTGATGCTGACGACTTCTAAAAATATCTAAACTTAATCGTGAAAGCCATAGGAAACCAGGGAAGTTTCTTGGCAGCATGCACAATCATCTGGCATCAAAGAGAAATGTATTTTATCAGCAGGGTCAGAGAGGGAAGGGGGCAATGTTGGAAGCAGGCAGATGAGCTCACTTGAGATCATACAAGACTGAACAAGGTTAGAGGTGAAAGGGATAGAGAAAAGGAATAGTTGGATCTGGTGACACACTTATGATTTGGGGTGTGAATTTTCTTTAGTCAGGAAAGTCCTCTGCTATAGGTTCTTTAATGCATGGTGGAAAACCCATATATAAAGCGGGTTTCTATCACTTTGCAACACAGGAAACCACTTCCTTGGGAAACACAGCAGCTGACTTGTTTTTCCTAAGGGTATTGCCAAACAGTTTTCCCAGTGTATTTCTTTTCCCTTATGTTCAATGTATCACTCCCATTTCCACATTCCATCACTTCAGGGCATCCTAGAGGTTCCCATGCTGTCAGTATACTCTCTTATGTGCCCTCTTTTGCTACAAGTGCAGATGCATCTTGTGATTCATTAATTGCTTTGCATTTAATGACCATGACCACTTTGCCTATAAGTACTTGGGAACATTTCTGGTGTCATAATTGTTCTTTCCTCCCACTGTTTTTTAACCCCATTATGAAATGGAATGTGAATAAAACAAAGTGCAATACAAGGAAAATGGACCATAAACACATCAGTCTCCCATGGCTCATTGAGCTCATACCTGGGGGAGTACCCTGTTCTCCACACGGCTGCACTGTGAATATACTGAGAGAATATTTCTGCAGGCAGTCCCGTGTTTGTTTTTATGTGTAAATGATGAACAGAGGAGATGTAGGACAAAGAGCATTGGCACTGGATTCATAACTGTAGCTTGGGTGACACCATCTTCAGCTATGGGATGTTTAGTGCATCACATAACTTCACCGAACTTGTTTCTGTCTGCAAAATTAGTTATTAAAAAAGATCCCTACCATGACTTCTGCTTCTAGGAAGATGGAATAGACACACTTTCCCCTACTCTTTGCACTAAGCACAACTCAAAACTGTAGACCAGGTGTCCTCAACTATGGCCAGTGGGCCACATGCAGGTGTTTTTGCTCGTTTTTTTTTTTTTTTTTTTTTTTTACTTCAAAATAAGATATGTGCGGTGTGCATAGGAATTTGTTCATAGCTTTTTTAAAATCTATAGTCCAGCCCTCCAATGGTCTGAGGGACACTGAACTGGCCCCCTGTTTAAAAAATTTGAGGACCCCTGCTCTAGACAGTATCGTGAGAAGAAAGCAGACAGGCTAAGGATCCGAAGGCCCAAGGAAAGGCATGGTGGTGAGTTCTCTGCATTTCTTTTTGCCTCATATCCCAGGATGGAAGCTGAAGGAGGTAAAGGACAGGGAATGCTAACAGCCATGTATAAAAATAGCGTTATCAAAAAAGCTTGCTCCCTCTACCCAAAAGATCACAAATGGGACAGACTAGGAAGATAGAAAACTTTTAGACAATACCTGTGTACTTCAGCCAAGAAACCATCCCTACCTCCACCCACATCCTCAAAGATCCCAGGTGAAGTCCAGACTTGCACATTGCAGAACTATAAAGGATCTCTGTTCCCCAGCACGACCCGCCAGCAGAAGTCATGATCAGGGAGCCAGACTTCCAACCCCAATGGATACTAAAGAGAAGCCCACCTCCCTGGTCCAAGTGAGGACCACGTAGAGAGCCTGGACCTGCACCCCCACCCAGCATAAATATGCCCATGGGATTTTTGACACAGGTTCAAAAACAATTTGATAGAGGAAAGACAGACTTTTAAATAAATTGTCCTGAAGCAATTGGACATCTGTAGTCAAAATAATAACATGCAAACCTCAACTTTAATCACACACCTTATATAAAAATTCAAAATAGATTATAAACTAAAGTGGAAAATGCAGAACTATAAAGCTTGTAGAAAGAAATGGAAAATATTTTAAATATAGAGCTAAGCAAAGAGTTCTTAGACTTGACACAGAAAGCATGATCCATAAAAGAAAACAAGTGATACCTTTATGGCATTCACAGACAAGAGCACAGTGGCAAAACAAATTTGAATCATCTGACACACAGATTCCCAACTGAGGTTGGACAATACTGCAAACAAGTATCCTTTTGGCAGTATATTTAGTGCCACGTGTTTTTGTACATTGTGCTTTTTTTGTTGGCGATTCTGCTGTTTTAGATAGCCCGCAAGCATATTGCCAAGTGCTGTGTAGTGTTTTTAAGTGCAGGAATGCTGTGATGTGCTTTACAGAGAAACTATGTGTGTTAGATGAGCTTTGTTCAGCTATGAGTTTTAATGCTGTTGGATGAGTTCAATGTTAATGAATCAATAATACATATTAAGTAAGGTATCTTTAAACATAAACACACATAAAATAAGGTTATGTATTGATCAATTGACAGAAATGTGACCAGAAGCTCACAGGTACCTATACCTCTATTTACCCTAAAACAACAGTTCAGTATTTGCTAATTCAGTGTTCATGGTTATTTTGTAGAACATACTACTGTGAGTAATGAGAATTGACTATCTGACAAAGGACTAGTACCTAGGATATAAAAAGAACTTTCTTCAGATACAGCAGTACACTCCTAGCTACCTGGGAGACTGAAGAGAGAGTATAGCTTGAGACCAAGAATTTGAGACCAGGCTGGGCAACATAGCAAGACCCTATCACTAAAAAAAAAAAAAAAAAAAAAAAAAAAAAATTGCACTCAAAACTCAACAGCAAAAACTAAAAAGGCAAATACATGAAGAAAAATATAACCAAATAGGAGATACAGAGGGAAAATAAGACCATGAAAGGATGTTCAAATGTCCATACCACCCAAAGCAACAGGCAGATGCAGTGCAGTTTGTATCAAAATTCTAATGGCATTTTTCATAGAAATAAAGAAAAAAATTCTAAAATACCCATGGAAATACAAAAGATCCTAAATAGCTAAAACAATCTTGAGAAAGAAGAACAATCAGCAAAATGAAATGGCAACCTACAGACGAAAGAAAATATTTGCAAAACATATATTTGATAAGGGGTTAATACTCAAAATACATAAGGAACATATACAACTCAATGGCAAAAATAATAAAAATAAAAACCCACGTAATGCAATTTACAAATGGACACAGAACCTGAATAGACATTTTCCCAGAGAAGACTTACAGATGACCAACAGGCATATGAAATGGTGCTCAATGCCACTGGTCATCAGGGAAATGCAGATCAGAACCAAAATGAAATGCTATCTCACACCTGTTAGGATGGTTATTACGAATAAGTTAAGAAACAACAAATGTTTGTGAGAATGTGGAGATAAGAAACCCCTTTACACTGTTGTTAGAAATATAAGTTTGCACAACCACTATGGAAAATAGCATGGAGGTACCTCAAAAAATTAAAAGTAGAATTACCATTTGACCCATCAACCCCTCTGATGGTATATACCAAAAAGAAATAAAATCAGCACCTGGTAGAGATACCTGCACTTTCCAGGTTCATTGCAGCATTATTCACAATAGCTAAGATATGGACAACCTAAGTGCCCCTCAATGGATCAATGGGTAAAGAATTGTGGAACTGCACATGCGCACAGTGGAATGTCATTCAGCCTTAGAAAAGAAGATACTGCTATTTGTGACAACATGGATGAACCTGGAGAACATTACACTTAAGTGAAACAAGCCAGATACGGAAAGAAAGATACTACATGATCTCATATATGTAACATTAAATAAATAAATAAAAAAAAGAACAGAGACATACATAGAAACAGAGAATAAAACAATGGTTACTATGGTCAGGAAAGGAGAAGGAATGGGGAAATGAAGGTAAAGGATACAAAATTGCAGTTAGGTAGGATGAACACGTCTCCAGATCTAATGTATAGTAGGAGGATATAGTTAATAATATTGTATTGAATGCTGAAAATTTGATAAGAGAGTAGATTTTAGGTATATTTATCACAAAAAAGTTAAAAAATAAAAAAGGAGGTGATGTTGGAAGACAATATATATGCTACATTTCTTACTTCTAATAATCATTTCACTCTATATATGTATATCAAAACACCATGTTGTACACTTTAATTATATACAAAAATAAATTTAAGAAAATATTTTAAACAACATTAGATGAAATACTAAGTAAAACCACAATAAGATACTACTAAGCACCCATAAGAATGGCTAAAATAAAAATAATGACAACACCAAATACTGGCAATTATGCAGACAAACACTGTTGGTAAAAATGTAAAATAGTACAGCTACTCTGGAAGATGGTAATTTCTTTAAAAATTAAGCATGGAACTGCTATACCAAGTAATTGCTCTCCTGGGCATTTATCTCAGACAAATAAAAACTCACTTATGGTAAAACTTGTACAAAATGTTTATAGCAGTTTTATCCATAATCACTCAAAACTGAAACAACCCAAATGTCCTTAAGTAAGTTAATAGTTAAACTATGAACACTACTCAGCAATAAACAAGAATGAACAATTCATACACACAGCAACTTGGATAAATCTCTGGATAATTACTCTGAGCAAAAGAAGCCAATTCCAAAAGGTACATGATTCTAATTATATGGCATTCTTGAAATACCAAAATTATAAAAATAGCATACAAATTAGTTGCCAGGGGTTAGGGGGATGGGAGTGGGAAGGAAGTCGGTGTGGCTATCCAAGAGCAAGAGAAAGGATCCTTGTGGTGATGAGAGTGTTGTGTATCTGACTGTTTGTATAAATATCCTGGTTGTGATATCATACTATAGTGTTGCAAGATACTTCCATTAAGGAAACTGAGTAAAGAGAAAGATCCACATCAACTGGAGCAAACTCAAATGCCTACGGGGCCAGACAAATTACACAAATCAAATTT